TTTCTTTTTCAATTAAAGAAATTCATTACAAGATGTTTCATTGCTTACACAAAAACTAAAATTATTATGTGAAAACTATATATGCAATATATATTTTGGACCTTGATCTTTGGACCTTAATTTTTTCGTTTTTTTTTACGCCATTGGTAGTTGTGATGGAATATTTCATTTGCAAAATCTCCAAGTATTTTTAAGATATAGTGTAGAAAAGATTCACACATAGATAATGTTTAAATTTATGACCTTGATCTCTGAACTCTGACCTTGAAGATCAATAGGGTTCTTCTTTGGGCCATAGGAAGTTTTGATATTAAATTTTACTGAAGAATCTCAAAGAAAACTAAAGTTATCATCTGGAAAATGTTATTTGCAATGTATAATTTAATGACCTTTGAACTTTTGAACTCGAAATCCAAAGAGGTCTTCTTTACACTTGTATTTTGGTTATGAGGAGCTGTGATATAAAATTTCATTGCAAAAGCTCAAAGACTTTTTAAGATATTGTCCCAAATTGAAAGTGTTACGCACAAACAGAATTATGATTTAATGACTTTGACCTCTGATCTTTTGACCTCAAAATCGACAGGGGTCTACTTTACGGCATAGGGAGATGTGATATTAAATTTTATTGAATAAAGCTCAAAGAAAATCCAAGTTATCATCTGGAAAATGAAATTTGTAATGTATGATTTTTTTATCTTGACTTTTGAGTTTTTGATCTTAAAATAAGAGGAGATCTTGTTTAGGGCATAAGGAGTTGTGATATAAAATTTCCTCTCAATTTATAGGGGTCTTTTTTAGGCCATAGGAATTTGTAATATGAAATTTCATTGCAAAAGCTCAAAGACTTCTTGAGATATCTTCCGGAAACGAAAGTGCTACACACAGAAATACAGCTACATGTAGAAGGACAGACCGACTGGCAGGCCCAAGGCATATTAGTATCCCCCACTTTCAGTGAAAACAGAGGACAAAAATCGAATTAAAGGCCATGGCAAGGGGTTTCTTCTTTTTACATAGAAGACTTTGCATAAATTCTGCTTCATTTTGGATACAAAAACCGGTCTGCTAATAATGGGCCACAATAAGTACCCATGAGAATTCCAATAGATTGTTGGAAGACCTGGTCGCTGAAAACAAAATAGATAATGTTAATTAAAACATCAAGTATCTTTTTAATAATAATCTTGGAGTACTTGTGTCTAGAATTAGAATGTTTCAGGGCTAAATAAGTTTGCAGATGACCAATGACAAGGTACACAAATTTACAAACTCCATTTTTATTGAACAAGCAGTTGTCCATGATTTCAAAAGCCTGAACTTTAATTCATTGTGGCCAATGTTTGTATAAAATGTTGAAAGTTGTTCGTTTTGATTCTATCAATTTTGCTAAAATTTTAAATTTCAAATTTTCTAACAGTTCTTTGGAGTTTTAAAAGTACATATACCCACATCTGATTAACACCACTTCTCGAATACATTGTTGCACAGTACTTCTGGAGTTTCTCCTTCACTGCTATTAATATTTTCAGGAGGACTTGGTAGAAAATTTATCATTGAAGTCAGGGTTTTCATACTTCACAGGTGTATTCCTTATAAGAAAGCCTTTTTTGAGTCCAAAATATTTGGTTTTATGACCTTGACCTTGAAGATTTCCCACTTTAAAAAAAAACTTTTACCTTTTTCATACTTTTGAATTGTTAGTGTGCAAGAGCTTTCATACTTATTTCACAATTGTATTACTTGTAACAAGATTGTTTCTTGGGTTCAAAAGTTTTGACCCCTTTGTCCTTGACCTTTGAGTTTGACCTAATTTGAAAAACTTTTAACTTTAAACGGCTGGTGCTAGGGCTTTCATATTTCATGTGTATATATCTCATGACAAGAACTTTATCTTGGACACCATTAAATTTGACAGTTTTACCATGACCTTGACCTACCTGTACCTTTGAAAACCTTTAACCTTCGACATAACTTTTCAACGTTTGGTGTTAGGACAATTATATTTCTTTGGTGTATTCTTAAGATAATATCTTTTTTGGTGTACCAACAGTTTTGATCTATTGACCTTGACCTCGGAGTTTGATTTGCATTTGAGAAACTTTAACCTCCATTATAAGCTGCCATATGGGGACATCGGTGTTTCACAAACACATCTTGTTTTTTGTTTGTTTGTTTGTTTGCAAACAATGGTGGATTAATAATTGTAAGAAATACAAAATGTGGACTTCAACTTAAATATTGTGGAATACAAATAAATATAAATAATTCTTCTTAACACCTGTAAAAACTGCATTTTTCATTCATAGTACTTTACATATTCTTTCAAGTTTTACTGCAACAGCTATTTCCTTATTTCTAGTAATTTATTCGACCAGCTGAATGTGCATGGGGAGAAGTCAAACCAAAATTCACAGCATATTTTCCTCGTTTCTTTCTCATTTAAGCAGTTGGTTGCTGTAATGTCAATCAATGATAATAATACACCACAAATGTTATAAACACTTTGTTGTATATGTGCAGTTTATATAATAAGACCGCGGAACATTAATTGGCAAGTTTGGATATATGCAGTTAACGTCATTTCCATCTGTTACAGTCAAAAATTTAAGGACATACGCAACGTAGTTTGAACTTTATTGTCTTTTCCCCTGGAGTTGAAGAGTTCCAATACTTAAAGGAATTGTGTGCTACATTTTAATGTCTATGTATGCTGCTGTACACTTCTTCTAAAACAAGTTTGGATTCACAAAACATTTAGAATATATGTTCAGTAATTTTTGTATATTTTTCTTTGAATTATACAAGAATTTTCATCAATTGATATCTTTTAAAAACCCCTGGTAATGCATGCTGATTTTTTGTCTACGAACATCTGATGACACTATAATCTTAAATTAAGAATATCTTGAAAAATTATCAGTAGGTAAGGTACGTTGCGTATGTCCTTAATGATAGACAATGAAATGGAAAATTATAGAATACAAATAAAAATTATACAATACAAATGGAAAAAATACAATACAAATAAAAAATTCTAGAATATAATTAAAAATTATAGAATACAAATAAAAATTATATACAATACAAATGAAAAATTATACAATATAAATGAAAAATTATACAATATAATTAAAAATTGTAGAATACAAATGAAAAATTATACGATACAAATGAAAATATAAGAATACAAATGGAAAATTATGGAATAAAAATAAATATTATACAATACAAATGGAAAATTATACAATGCAAATGGAAAATTATAGAATATGAATGGAAAATTATACTATATAAATGGAAAAGATCGAATATTGCAACGATTGACATGCCATAGCTGGACTGCATTAACTTTTGCTGAAAGATTTAGGACACATTTTAACAAAAAATATGATTATATCAAATTTAAATTTATCCTGCTGAACAGTTACAGTTACGCATATCTTAAGATGACCTCTACTTTTTCTCTGTTTTAAAACTTGGTTCAAAATTCACATAATTTAAATTTAACAGATTGTCATCAAATTGTTAGAACTAGAATTTGTTCTAGCTTTGTCCGAGTAAAGATTTCATATCTTTTAGAAGCATGGTCCTTATGACCATTTTCTCAGTCACAGTTAATAGTTATGTTTGCAGAATTTCCATCTACAGCTACAGACGCAAGCACTACAGGCGCGGATCCAGAATTTTTTTCCGGGGGGGTTGGGGGGCACACCAGTAAAAAAAAAATCGAACCTAGAATTTTCTTGACAACCCATGCCCGGGGGGGGGGGGGGCTCCACTTTACTTCTTAAGCTTAATATGTATGACTTTTCATACCGAGTTAACAGGGGTCCGCGTTTTCGGGGGTGGGGGTGGGGTGGGGTCCAAGGTCACTTTTAGTTGCTTTACTATATACATTTAATAACTCTGCAAATTCCAGGGAGGAGGGTCCGACCCCCCCCCCCCCCACCCACCCCCTCTAGATCCGCGCATGCACTTACACCCCTTCTGTCATAGTGTTTAACCGTGTCCGTTTCGCTTGATGGAACTTGCAGCATATTAGCTACAGTTATCACACTGGTAACTATTTACTTAGCTTCCATTTTCTTCTCCGGTAGTTTCACTTTTCCAGTCTTTTAATTTGCCTGTGGAAAAGATAAATGAATAAGAAATAAGAAATAATGGTTCGTTTTGTATAAATGTAATAAAACTACAATTATTCATCTTCGAGTATACCCAAGGGTGATCTCGTCTTTTATTCATCATCCGGTGACGAGTAAAAGACGAGGTCACCCGTTGGTAACCGACGATGCTCTCTATTTCACTTTTAATTTACTGGGTTGAGGTAAGTACAAAATATAGTTATCATGTAAAGTTTACAGCTATTATTTATACAGTGTACCTCCATTCAGTAAATTCAAAACTGATACCTGGATGTAGTTGCAGAATCGTAACGTTATGGTTACATTTTAGTCTTTGACCACATCATCGTTATGGTCTAAGGCTAAAATATAAAACCATAACGCTACATGTACAGTTCCGCGTCCCCCCCCCCCCCCTTCGTGGTTCAGGATATCGCCCGGAGTTTGGGGGGGGGGGTGAAAGATGCAATTTTTTTTTATCAGATATAGAATCCATGTTACTCTAATTTCAATGATGTTCGATTCAGTTATCGTGTATTAATAATTTACTCTCTCTCTCTCTCTCTCTCTCTCTCTCTCTCGTACTAAATGACACGTACGCTCGCTTCGCCACTGTCTCTATGACAATTTCTATGCGACAACACGTATAACTGCTTTATTTACAATGAATATTCTGAAAAAAAAACTTCTTAAAAATCTTATCCTGTTTTTAACTTTTTATGTGATATAATCAATAATTAAAACATTAATATGCCAATAATTAGTGAGGGATCCGGTTTGTGCGCAAGGCGTACAAAATATACATAATGCGGGAGCGCAAACTTTTAAAATGAAAGTAGAGTGTCCGAAACAAAAGTAAATAGTTTCTGTCTAAAAATTAAAATCATGCTCTAGTCAGTTGTTGCTATCAAATTATGAAACCAAGACAGTCTAAATCTACATGGAACAGAGGTAGAAAAGAGGATGATTCAAACAACTACAAACCATGCAAACGGTTTGGGAATATGGGGAGGAAACGTCGAAACAAAAAACGTCTGTACTCGGATGCGAACGGTATAAGGTCTGGATCAACAAGGGATGGCGCAGGGGAGGGAAGTTCCAGTCCGAGAACGTCTACAGATTATGATATCCTTTATTATGATTTTTTGTGTATTGTAAACTACACATTATTATTGTAATCACTGTTGAAATGCTTAGTTAGTTTGATCGAGTCATCAATAATGACAATTCTTTTTGTAGTTTCATGTTATTACATGCTGACCCTTTTTTGTGGACAATTAACTGATTAAATCTAATGTGGTTTTACTTTGAACAAATCAGCAACAAGTAATACGAAAACAGCAATATTTTTCATTTCTAATCACAATAAATCTAATTTTAATTACCTTAACATGCAGATATACATGTACATGATCTAAAATGTATATAATTATGCTTGTTTATAGAAGTTAAAAATGCATGTTGAGTTTTGTCGTTATAAAAAAAGTTTTGCTCTTTTCTTTAACTTGCATATACAAATACCAGGATTCTATTATGACCCAGAGAAGAAAAAATACTTCAAAATTCAACCCAATCAATTCTCCAGCCTTGGACACACCATAACAAATCAGAATATAGAGAAGAAAGCAAAGGAAGTGAAAAGGAAAGAAAACCTTAACAGACAGACAGACAAATTACATACACACCATTTCCTTGAATTAATAAGCAGACAAGAGTTAGGAAGTATTAGTAGTTGTCAGTTTCAGAGATATTTCATTCATAAGAGAATTTCTTGCATTGATAATAATTCCACTCAGACAATAGATGTGCCATCAATTCATGGAATTGTGGAACACCCAAAAGTGATGGGATTAAATTCAAATTGTGATAAACTTATATCATTGTGGGATCTTACAAGTAGTTTAGCCAAGTTTATAAATATTGCATATGTCACAATGGCTTATTCTGGTGCAATAGAAATTGATTTTGAGAAGTCAGATCTGAGTTTGTGCGCTGGTGCATCTAGCATATTTTGGACAGAAAAAAAGAAATCACTACCTCTTCATTTGTTGTATACAACAGTGCCTTTTATTGGTAACACTAGCAGCACAGCTTACGTTTGTAAGGTCTCAAATCAAGGCTTGTGTGGGACCCCCAATTCTTACAGTATTGGTCAGAAATACATCTGGTGTTGTGCTCTGGACTCGGACTATAGGAGGTTCAGTATTGGATGTGAGAAGGGTGCCTTACTGATTGAGGTAGAAACTCGTCGACTCTGGGAAATCTACTCATACAAAAGTGATGTGTTCAGTACGACATTCACTCATCAGGTAAATTAGAGATAACATACAACAAATTGACCAAGTTAATGAAAATACAGTCATTTATTTAAATTTTCTTCATTGATTCAATAGGTCTGAATAAGGAGAATATTACAGTTGTATATGACAAAAAAAGTAGCCTTTTAGGGAGATAGCAATATTTGTTGTTAAGTGTTTTATATCTTTTGCAATTTTCAAAATTGAGAGATTTATATAAATTATGTTCTAAGTAGGTAATGCCTGTAACAACTTGCTAGAATGGGACTCAAATTTAATTTCTATGTGTACCGGTAATTTTGACTCCATGAATTATTTATGAAATAATATAAAAATTTTTGCCAATTAGAAAATCTTTCTATTAAAAGACAATTTGCAAGTTTGTTAATTATATTCCTTGCTTGAATTATTCCCCCATCTTGAAAAGCGGGGATATATAATGATGGGAGTGTCTGTCTGTTCGTCTTCACATTCTCTACACTTAGGATAGCCATCCATTTTCTGCAACTCCTCCTATACCACTGAATAAAATTTAATGAGACTTTTTCAGAATCTTCATTACATAGTGCCGTTGTAACCTCCTATTTTACATTTCAATCAGAGAGATACTTGGGAGTTTCCCATAGCAAAACATGGACGCTTCCATTCTTTCTTTTATATGGGCATACCCATCTCTTACTGCAACTCCTCCCATACTACTGAATAAAATTCAATGAGACTTTCACAGAACCTTTTTACATTCTGTGGAATCATTAAAATTTGTGGCCGTGGGGTCCAATTTTTGTGGATTTCTTAAATTTTAGAGGTTTATGGAGATGTAATTCCGTGTATTTATTTATACCTACAGATCTGAAGGAAATATGACTTTGTAAGCATAGTTTATTATTTGTGTAGGATGTTAATTCATGGATGAGAGGTACCCACGAATTCCACGAAAATTGAGCCTCCATGAAATCTCATGATTCCACAGTAGTGACATTGCGAACTTCTTATTTTTCTTTCCGTTAGACACACATTTTTAGTTTCCCAATAGCAAAACATGGACCTTACCATTATTATACCCCCCACTTGAAAACTAGGGGGTGAATAGTGATGGGGATGTTTGTCTGTCTGTTAGACCATTCCAAGTTTTTTTCTCTGTTTAGCATCCACCCATATTTCAAAAACCTACCTACCTATTTGCAAAAAAAAAAAGCCAAAAAATAAACACAGTCTTTTTAGTCATAAAAATGACACAATTTGAAGAATTTCATTTCATTAATCTATATTTCTTGTAGAAAGATTTAAAAAAAAATTTTTATACAAAATCAAGGTATTGAATGCTAAAAATATATACCTTATATAACATACTATAAACAGATATTTTGAGAAATTGATAGAATTTAAATATTTTGATCAGAATAATCAAATTCAGGACTTATGATTTCGTTTGTTTTTTTGGATGTCAAAAACCAAGGTGCACACGGACGCTAAGCATAGAACAAGATGTGTTTGTGAAACATGGATGCCCCTGTATGGCAACTTTATACAGCGAAGGTTAAACTTTCTCAAATGCAAATCAAATATGCTGGTACCTAAAGTAAGGTCTTGTACTGAGAAATATACCTGTGAAATATGAAGTCCTAGCAGCAACCATTGAAAAGATATGGAAAAGGTTAAAGTTTTTCAGAAGTTAGTCAAACATCACAGTCAAGGTCAAATGGTCAAAATTAATGGTGCCTAAGGAAAGGCCTTCTCACAAGAAATACATGTAAAAATATGAAAGCTCTAGACCAACCGTTTATAAAATATGGCCAAGGTTAAAGTTTTTCAAAAGTAGGTTAAACTCCAAAGTAATGGTCAAAGGGTCAAAGTTGTTGGTATCCAAAGTAAGGTCTTGTCAAAAGGATTGCATATGTAAAGTATGAAAGCCCTAGAACCAACTGTTAAAAAGAAATGGCCAAGGTTAAAGTTTACCAAAAGTAGGTCAGACTCAAAGGTCAAGATCAATGGACTATAATTGTTGGTATCTAAAGGAAGGGCTTGTCACAAGGATTACACAAGTGCAAAATCAAAGCCCTAGCACCATTTGTATAAAAGTTATGGCCAAGGTTTAAATTTTCCAAAAGTAGGTCAAACTCAAAGGTCAAGGTCAAAGGGTCAAAGTTGTTGGTATCCAAAGGAAGGTCTTTTCACAAGGATTGCATATGTGAAAAATGAAAGCCCTAGCATCAACTGTTCAAAAGATATGGCCAATGTTAAAGTTTTTCAAAAGTAGGTCAAATTCGTAGGTCAAGGTCAAAGGGTCAAACTTGTTGGTATCCAAAAGAAGGTCTTGTCAGAAGGACTACACATGTGAAGTATGAAAGCCCTAGCATCAACCGTTTAAAAGTTATAGCCAATATTAAAGTTTTTCAAAAATAGGTCAAACTTCAAGGTCAAGGTCAAAGGGTCAAAGTTGTTGGTATCCAAAGGAAGGTCTTGTCACACAGATTACACATGTGAAGTAGGAAAGCCCTAACACCAACTGTTCAAAATTTATGGCCAAGGTTAAAGTTGGGTAAAATTTTGTGAACTGGGTCAAACTCCAAGGTCAAGATCAAAAGGTCAAATATGATGGTACCCAAGAAAGGTCTTGTCACAAGGAATACACATGTGAAATATGAAAGCCATAGCTCCAACCAATCAAAAGTTATGAGCAATGTTACAGTTTTGTGGACAAACAGACAGAGAAACAGACAGATGGACGGACAGGGCAAAAACTTTATACCCTTGCCGAATCTTCGATGTGGGGGCATAAAAACTTGGAATGGCCTTACACTCTGTACCATCTTTTATCTGCAACTCCTCTTATACAATGGAATTAAATTTAATGAGACCTCCTATTTTACTTTCTGATTGGATATCTATTTTTGGCTTCCAATGACAAAACATACACACTGCCATTCTTTCTTTAATATTGGAGGTACCCATTTCTTATCTGCAACTCCTCGTATACCACTGAATAAAATCTGATGATACTTTCACAGAATATTTAAAACATAATGCATTGTGCACCTCTTATTAAGGTCTTCCGTTTCCAACGGAAGACCTTCTACTGATTGTGATGATTAAGATTATTCTTTTTTTTTTTTTTCCTAGACGCCAACTTTGACGCTTCATATCTTCCTCATTTTTAAACAGATTTTGTTCAAATTTTCAGAGCTTTTAGACTTTACAAAACACTGTCAGAATACCGTAATACAATTCGGAAATTACCTTCTGTTCACGAGTTATTCCCCTTTGATTGAATTTTGCATGCCTCCCATTTCCAGACAAAGGCTCAGAAATGGTTATAATTGGAGCACAAAACCCTTTGAAATTGAAAAGAGGAAGCATTGAAGTTGTGCACATCGGTTTTTTTTTTTTTTTGATTTTTGCATTAAAAATGGCGCTAGAGAGGGGTCAAAAGTTAGAACGCGGAAAACAGCAAAAAAATTGACATATTTTCCTTTATATCTTGAAAACTAGAAATATTTTGTTAAGACATGTAGAACAAAAGTTGCGCATAATTGCAAGGGCTTTCATATTATACTATTTAAAAGGGGCTGGCCCCTATGATTAGGGATCTTGGGCCCTTAAAAGTTTTTGCTTTATAACTCAAAAACGGTAAATATTTCGATCTGGATCTTGGGAACAAAATTGTTCTTTTACACCTTTTTGATCTAATGAAAATGTTGTTTTGTTCGAGTATACCATGGGTATTGCGTAATACGTATTAGAAAGCAGGCCAGGTAAACAGGTAACGTTTTTCATTCGGCAAGGAAATTAGACCTCTTCATGTGTATAACTTAAACAGACTTGCTATCAATAATATACCCTGCGGTATTTAATGTTAATTTTCTTTTTAATAAGGTTTAAAACATGGTTTATGGTTCACTATTAAATTATTTATTACAACTAGTCTTTCTTTTCTTCTTTTTTAAATTAGGTTAATAGTGTTCAAAAGCGGAGAATATTAAATCTATCTTTCTACGTTTATTATTACAACAAACTTTGTAAGTGATTTTAAACTGTATGCATTGAATAATTCACGATCATTAGCTGTATGCATATTACGGTCTCCATGTTCAGCTCGATGTTTAGTTATGTAACCCAACGCGCGAATCCCACGCTGTTGATCGAGGTCACCAGTGTACTAGCCACCTGTGACCATAAACAAAGCTAGTATTTGTGATCGCGTATAATGTCAATTTTGTGCAAAGAGCTATTAATTAATGGAAAGTTATGTTTTTAATTATATCGAATCAGTAAGATTACTTTACCGATCTTTTATAATCTTAATTCCAAACACTGGTGCATAAAAATCATTTTGAATTTTAATCGCTGTTTTTGTCTGTTCACGCAACAATACATTTAAAAAAAGTATTGCTCTATCCCGTGTTGTTGTATTTTAATTCATCTGCAATTGTAATTGAATGGGGGCTTCGGTAAATAATTGTAATTACTACGCATGCTACGCACATATTATTTTTACCACCACTCTTGTGAATGTCCATTTATTATTTATAGAATTAAATAAACATTAACATAAATAAAAATTCCTTCAAATATACATGTACTATAATTCAAGTCTTTGTAATATAGCAAACAGTTTCATCCGTCTCTGCCGCTTTGTGTCTTTAAGTGTTGTAGTCCAGTCCTCGTTTACATACACGTGGCAACAGAGAGCCGCGGGCACCTCGATGTTGAAATACATTGTTGCTCTACACCGCACAAACAACTAGCATGTACATGCAGTGTAGTAATTGGCAAAGATTGTTTGAAAAATATAAACTCGCATGTGTTCGCTACGAAGCATTCATTTTAAAATTTTATTTACATGTAGATACCTTATAAGAACAAAATAAAGTAAATGTATAACGCCTAGAACAATGTTTAAAAATTAAAATACAAATATCGTGTGCTCGGAAGGGAAGATGGCTTGAAAGGGTGTGTCTGTGAATGCTTAGATCTAGCAAAACACTTCGCAATGTTAAGCATACTTGTGGCCA